GGATGTTTGTTACTATTTCACGCAAACACTACTGAACGATTTTTTATTTATTTATTTCATTTATTCAAATAACTTTAATTTAACAATATAATATATAGTACAGTACATTTTTTGTACTTAACATCCATGCGGCATTTTCTATCACAAGAAACCATTGTGTGTTGCAGAGAATAATTGTTGTAAGTTTAAAATTATAAACATAAACAAAATACCAACAAAATATAAATATATATACAATATATATATATATACTTAAGAGATACAATAATATATAACATAAATATATACAAATATGATATCTATATACACAAATACACACATATATATGCAATAAACTTAAATATATACCAAATAGTCTGACAGTCACAGAACTAAAGAGAGTTAAATGGAAAAAAAGTGAATTCAGAGAAGAGAGAAAGTTATCATATATTAAATAATATGAAAAACAAAGTTTACGTTTAAAAGAAAACTTATTCTTGCTATATGTTGCTGTCATCTATAAATTCAGCTATCCTATAATAGGCTTTTTTACATAACATTTGTTTAATATACAATTTAGCTTATACATCAGAATATAACGTAGGTTATAATCTAAAAAGATAATCTGTAAATTAGGCGAAATATAATGATAACGTAATCACTACATTTAATATTGACCTATATACACTATCTTGGCTTCTAAATCCTATTTTTCTTACGACATCGTTACAATTTGAGCTGATTTATCTCCCTCTATGCAAAATGCCAATACGAACATAATAGCGGACTTCAATATTTTCGTTCCTAGATTAAAAATGACCGTAAGTTTTATTGCCGCGCCGTGTGTCATCGCGCCATTTTTATAGCATTTTAGTCGTAAATTGCCGCGAAAATTGCTCTCTCATATGACGTTTAGATACATTACGCGTACAGACCTACATTTTAGTGAGTAACTCCGCACCATTACAATGTTTATTGAGTTCCATTTTTAAATTTATACAGATTATACTCGTGAAAAGTTATCTGTTTATTAACAGGTTTGATATATTTGTTTAATATATTCATAATGATTTCTGTATTACACATAAATCATTATGAATTTATTTAAATACTAGTAGTAGTGCACGCGACTTCGTTTTTCTTCTTATATTTACGACTAGCTGTGCTCGCGACTCCATCCGCGTGGAAATGAAAGTGGAAAACTTTATTTTTCTAAAATAGAAGTAGCCTATTAACTCAGCTACCTGCCAAAAAAAGTCCCGTCAAAATCGGTCCAGCCATTTCAGAGATTAGCCGGAACAAACAGACAGACAGACAAAAATTGTAAAAAATTATATTTTGGTGTATGTACCCAACCGTACGTACGGTATTTCCGGCATATAATGACAACAATGTCTATTAATTACAATCAAACCCTTTATTTATCTGATTAGAAATCTTAATATACACTCAGAAGAATATTTTATCTAATAAAATGTAAAACAAAAATGGCGTCGCAATAAAATGGCGCGAAAGCCATTACGTCAACAATCTGCCTGTCAAATGCACGCGTTCGGTAAGCAGCCGAACTCCGAAGCCACTTATCGGTGCATCCATAAAATATACCCCTTATAAAATACTTAACGTGCCAGGAACAAGAGAATTTTCGCCAAATGCACAGCTATTATTTGTGGACCATAGTGCATTCTATATTTTTATAATATTACCACAGACAATATAATTGGTATTATGTTATCTGTGGTAATACTATAGAAGGTTTCGAATGAGGATTTCAATTATTTAAACTTATTTTTAATATTATGTATTTATGTCAGTCGTCTAGTAACTATAACACAAGCACTGCTTAGATTGGGACTAGATGACGTTGTGTGAACTGTCAAAAATGTGTAAAAATTTTAACTTACTCAGCAACCTTTTTTACAGCATAAATATATCTTTCACTTATTCCTGCTGACCAATTTTAATATATATCTGCGTAAAATTAAACACAAATAAAGATCTTCACCGTTGCTTCTCAATACATTTACGAAAATATCACATATGCCAAAAAAAATATAGACAAATTAAAAAGTTTGTGATTACACTAATAAAAGCTTACGTAACAATAACAAAACTGATTTTACCAAAATACCGTTTAACTAAAGTTAGTACTTCGTTTTATGGCAATTGCCTAAGGTTTTACAACAAACTACCAGAGTCTGTTATAAATCTGCCTGAAAATCGATTTAAATCTTATATATAAAATTCTCGTTTCACAGTTTTCGTTCCCATACTCCTCCGAAACGGCTCGACCGATTCTCATGAAATTTTGTTAGCGTATTGAGTAGGTCTAAGAATCAGCCAATATCTATTTTTCATCCCCCTAAATGTTAGGGGTAGTCCACCCCTAATTTTTTTATATTTTAAGGCAAAACAACGTTTGCCGGGAAAGCTAGTATCGCATCACTTTCTCTGTAAAATGCTCATTATAAAATTGAAGAGTTTGTAAATGTTTTTGTACAAAAAAATCTAAGTTAAAATTCATAGCGCTGAATATTATCTGATTGCACTAACAATGAGTGGGTAGCAATTTCTACTATATATTGATTATCGCATGCCTCTTACCTGTTGTTGTGTAATTATTTATTTGAAATAGCAATTATTCAAAAGAGCAATACACAAGTTTCTTGTTCGTTCTTCTTGTGATGATTCTGCGTTCCGAATGACTGGTAGAATAAAAAATATAACTATTGAAAATGCTTTTATTGTGTTTATTTAAATAAAGATTATTTCTATTTCTACAAAATATAAAGTCTGCTATTTGAGTCATAAATGTTTATTCATAACTGCACTGGATTTCGTCAAACAGTTAAATAGTTTATGGTGATCTTATTATGACAATAAAATAACAGCATCCTCAAATATCGGCCACACCTTTCTAATATCAGATTTATTGTGGACTTTTATTGAATCATAATTTTTTAGATTCATGGAAATAGGTCCGCATACCGCCAGAACACTGGAATTATGTAACAAGTTTTTTTTTATAATGTGTTTTTTTATAGTATCTATGTAATATATAAAATTCTCGTGTCACAAATTGCGTGTTTACGAAACGGCGAAACGTGCGAAACGGCTTGACCGATTTTCATGTAATTTTATATGAATATTCAGTGGGTCTGAGAATAGGTTTATAACAAATTTTTATACATAGTGTTAAGGGTGGCTCACCCCAAAATATTATTTTCAAATTATCCGGATAAATTTTTTATTGTTTTATTAAGTGACATTAAAAAATACATACAACCCAAATATATAAATAAAAAATACATATAATACAAAATTTTCACCCTTATATAACCAACCCCTATTTTTAATAGCGATATTAATACTTACATTTATGTGGAAAAATGTTTGACGGGACAGTTAGTATTTACATATATTTACTAGCTGTACTCGCGACTTCGTCCGCGTAGAATTTACTATATTTTTCTAAAAAAAATATTTTTTCTAAAATAATAGTAGCCTTAACTCCTTATTCCATCAGTTACCAGCTAAAAAAAGTCCCGTCAAAATCGGTCCAGCCATTTCAGACATTAGCCGGAACAAAGAGACAGACAGACAAACAAAAATTGTAAAAAATATTATTTTGGTGTATGTACCGTATTTATATTTGTATGCATGTAGTAAAAAACGGTTAATACAATATTACAAACAAACATTGCAATTTTATTTATAGGTAGATTATTGACGGCCTCTGTACAAAAGATTACTTCCTCTTCCATAACATTATCGTGCCTCTAATGATGCCAAAATGATGATGATGACTTCTGTGGTGGTGTATATAGGCAATGATGATGATTAATTTAATATACAATAACATGTTAAACGTTAACTACATTAGTTTATAAAAACTATATTACAGTTATTCGCGCCCATCTCCAGAGAAATGTAAACAATTTAAATAAAAACAAATTATCTAATATCAATTACACCATAAAAAAAAGATGATATATGTATTGTATATATATAGTATCGTTGCGTTGCTTTTATTCCGTTATTATATATCAGTATCAGCCTTCTTATCAGTCTTCTTCCACTGATACCTATATTTTATGATCGTGGTAATAATATATACACCACAATATGGCCATCAGAAAACAAACGATGTATATAAAAACAGAACGTCAAAATATAAAATCGGATATCCGATATAAAAAAAAACTATCAAAAAAGTAACCGTAACCGAATCCGAAATAAAAGTTTCGGATATTATCGGATAGGGATGGAGCCTAATTGAGACATATTATGTAACTATTTTATTACTTATTTGCATTTTACTTTTATGAAATCGTGTATATATGTATTAATATCCGTAACCGAATATATAAGAAACTAATCAGGAACATCAGGGATGTTATAATTTAATATCCAGATCCGTATCCGTATCCGATATTTCATACCCATAACGTCCCTGAGGAACATAATAGTAATCCTGGACAATTCACACAGCGCCATCTAGTCCCAAACAGAGCAGATTTTGTGTTATGAATATAAATAGTTAAATATATTTTTTTGAAATTCCTTAAAAAACAATATCCGTAACCGAAATTACAAGAAACAAACGGATAATCCGATTGTTTAATATCCAGATCGTCTCATTGCTATCCGATATTTCATATCCATAACGTCCCTGGAAACCATAATAGTAAATTACTGGACAATTCACACATGCGCCATCTAGTCCCAAACAGATCAGATTTTGTGTGATGAATATAAACCATTAAATATATTTTTTTATCATCCATTGGAAAAAAAATACAAACAATGATGCCAAAGTTAGCACAGAACGAGGAATTGAATCCACGACCATCAGTAGTAAGACCGTGTGCTACACTGCCAGATGATCAAGATAATTAATCCTGTATTGTATGTTGGACTCCAGTCTCCGCTATTAGCCTCTCATTCGGGCCGTTGTGCGTGTACAGCCAGACTACTACAGTAGCCAGCCACTAATTAATCCAGATATTGTCTACTTCCAGGTTCCGCGCCTGTCTCAAGTTAGCCGACACGTCCGTTTCCAATATGGTGGGGAAGTTGTTCTTCAACATCGTGCAAACCAAGTGCTTCGTGCTCAAACCTGTCAAGATATGCGTGAAGAGGTCCTGGTGGGGAAAGTGCACGAGGAAAGGTTACACGAAGCAGGCCTTCCTGAGGGACAATCTACCTTATTGAACGGTGATAGAATCTCTTCTCTAATGGCCATCGACAGGTACTTACGTGGATAGTATTTAAAATGCTTTCGAATAATTTTCGACGGCGATTCGATGCAAGTGTTCCTATAATAATGAATTTTATCGTATTAAGAATAAAGATTAATATTGATTAGCAATAATGATCACTATAGACCGTTTTGTAAGCATGCTCTAAATATATATATACCTTCACGAATATTATCCCAGAGAGGGTAGACAGAGACGTGTCGACTCTTAACATTATATTAAAAGCAACAGTTGACCCTTTTTTAAATATAACGTGACAGTAGATGGTCTTACCGCCATGTCACGGATTAGTTTGGTTTGTTATAGGTGTTTCCATCACCGAAAGGTTAGTCTAAAAGTGATTGATTTTTTTTTTGTTATATTTAAACTTTTAACTTAAAACCTTTGGGTTAGTAGTCGGGCCATAATTGTCAAATATCAATTAAAAAAAAAAGGAACTACCATATGTATATATGCATATTTATTTTATTAAGTACTAAAATTACTACTTATTTAAAATATTACTGTGAATTTATTATTGCGAATTTATGCTTTTTGATAGTTTGTATCCGCACAAAACAATAAAAATCTTAAACTGAACTATATTTATTTAAAAGAGCAACAAACTAGTTTCTAACTTGTTCTTCTTATACCGAAAGCTTTCCGAATGAGCGGTCAAATAAAAAACAAAAGTACGTAATGAATTTATATTATTTGGTTTCATTTCACGGAATTAAACAGTAATATAATGGACTTCGGCAAAATTGCACTTAATCCAAAAAAAATATTCACTAGTATAAAATGTAATTTCCAAACTAATATAGTTAGTAAAAAAAATATTGAGTTAATTTGAATAAAGATTTTTTTATTTATAGTATACATATATAAAATACATACAAATTCAAAATCGAAATTCAAAATATCTTTATTCATGTAGGTATATTACAGACTCTTATGATATGTCACATCTACCGTCAGTTCGGAATGATTTCTAGATAAGAAGTGGTAAGAAACATAATCTTTACATAGTATAAAATGAAGTCACTGGCGCTATATGTTCCCTTAGATCTTCTAAACTACGCAACGGATTTACTGCAGTTTTTAGCAATAGATAGTGATTCAAGAGGAAGGTTTATATGTATAATACATGTATACCCGTGCGAAGCCGGGGCGAGTAGCTAGTACGGTCTAAAATGATCATTATTGCAAAAAGTGATTCATCATTTTAAAATGTTAATTATTGTAAATATTCCTGTAGTCCTACTGTATTATTAATCTATTTATTATTAAACAATATTGTATTTAAGAATAATCATTCATGATGAATATTAGGATAAATAAATTTCTCTTATAACATTAAGTTAATAAAGTAAGGAACAAGTAAAGCAATTATCAAAGTTGTCCAGCCTAGATATAACATATACCTTATGCACATAAAGTTGTTAGAATCTAGTTCATAGTAATAGTTCAGTTTTGTTTATGTTATACACATTTTATAAACTGGATATTGATGTATATATCACCGAGCATCAACCGTCTGTTCAAGTAAAACCACGACCACGACGTCTGTTCCCATCCAGCCACGATATCCAGGTCTAAGACCCAGAATAAATAATTCTTGTCGAGTCTAGATGGAGAACTTTAAAAAGGACGAGCACATTAGAGCTATGTAGGTCGCAGTGCTAGCTCTAAGCAACTGACAATAATCCAAAAACATCAATAAAAAAAATACACTAAAAAAACACACAATTATCAATGTTAATATTACGTTTGTATAATGTGTACAATTTTGAACAATCGTGACAAATGTTTGTACAGATTTTCAAATATAATTAAGTTATTTTTAAAGGCCTCCAGTAAGGTGGACCTACGATCAGGTCAAGATCGCTGGAAGGCATTGGATGCGAGCAGCGCAGGACCGATCGTCGTGGAGATCTTTGGTGGACCTTTAGTCAGCAGTAGACGTCTTCCGAGCTGAGATGATGATGATGATGTCTTCCGGGCTGAGATGATGATGGGTGATGATGATTTTTAAATTTTTGTGTTTAATATACATTATTTGTATTGTTAGCCGGGTCTTAACACGAATAGATTTATAGTAAACACAGACTGAGGACTCAGTCAGCTTGTGACCACGGCTAGTGTAACCTAGTCGAAATATTGGGAGAGGTAATCCTATATCTATACATCTATACATATAAATAAAATTGTAGTGTCTGTTTGTAATATTGAAATAACCGTTTTTTACTACATACATATGAATATAAATACGGTACATACACCAAAATAACATTTTTTTAAATTTTTGTCTGTGTGTCTGTCGGTCTGTTTGTTCCGGCTAATTTCGGAAATGGCGGGACCGATTATGACGGGACTTTTTTTGATTGACTTCAGGTAGGTGGTCTAATAAAGAGTAACTTAGGCTACTTTTATTTTAGAATTATTTCTTTTTAGAAAAATAAAGTTAAATTCCACGCGAACGAAGTCGCGGGAACAGCTAGTTTACCATTATTCGTGTTAAGACCCGGTCAACAATATAAGTAACAATTAAGTTAGTTTAATAACTTGATGCTGAGTTCAAACAGGTATATTACTCGATAACATTTAATTGTGATGATTATTTATCATTTAATATAAAATGAAATCGTGTCCGCTGTCCCTTCGTTTAGAACTTTTAAACTACTCAACGGATTTTGATACAGTTTTCAGCAATTGATAATGATATAAGCGGGATTTTATATGTATAATATAATAGGTACCCGTCCCGGCTTCACTCGGATGTATACAATACATATAAAACTTCCTCTTGAATCACTCTATCTCTTGTTAGAAACTGCATTAAAATCCGTCGCGTAGTGTAAAACTGGTCCATAATATCTATGTACTTATAGATATATTGAATTATTTATAATAATTAATGTATTAAAAGTGAATATCATTAGATTTACTTAAATTCGCAGGTTGTAATGTGAAAACAGGAAAGTCGTAGATACTTAGATGTTTGGTTAAGTTATTGAGATGAAAATAATATTAAATACTTATAAAAATATAGAATAATGTAATAGATTTTGCAATAGTGATAGCCAATAATATATTGGTGGGAAGTTGATATTTATTTTGTAAAATATAATGATATATGTATGCAAGGTCTAACATAAATAGTGCTAGATAATTTTACAGGACAAATAATAGGTCGAAATGCTAAAAAAATATGCAAATATGTTATTGTTGTTCTGGTACATATACTTAAAGGTTTTTCTTGTAGAAATATATAATCTATTTAGTTGTATAAAAATAAAAACAGTTAAAAGAAGTATGCCAGTAATAATATTTTTCTACATGAAATAATAGACAATAAAAACCATTAACAATATATACCAAAAAGTCACGGCGTGCACAATACTATTAAATACTTAATTATGAAGTTCATTTCATATTTATTGACCCAAGAATGTTTACTGTAGTTACAATTGATAATTGGCTATGTACGATGGTATTAGTCACATATTCTGTGGTACTACTGTTCATCTATGCAACAACGACAACTTTCAGTCAAGTGGGCCAATAGCCTGCGTGTCATTCCTAATATATATAAAAAACTAGTGTTCATGTATAAATGCGATGATTGTCACTTACAATTAGGTGGGCCAATAGCTTGTTTGCCATTCTCATTGTATATAAAAAGATATACTAACATAAATAAAGAAACAATATGGCCGTTTTGTTATTATAAAAACGTACCTAATGATCGACTTGTCTACTTATTATACACTATTTTTGTTAGACCTTTATGTTCAGTGTTTTTGTATGAATAAAAAAAATATTGTCAATACTTTAGCAATACTTAACTGTTTATAAAACAAACGTAAATAAGTAGATTTTCGTATATTTAATATAGTGTTTATTTGATAAATGTTTATTTTTTTAAGTGTTTGATTCTGTTAATCAAATGATGTTGCATTTTATAATTTTATTATAGTTACCGATTTATTTATTTATTATGAAATAATAATTAATTAGTGTATAACAATATACTTTAGTAGTAGATATTTATAGATTAAAAATAAGCAATAAAGTGTGTCTTTCTTAATAATTATTTTGTGTTATTAAATAATAAATCGTATTTTATATAATAAATTCATAGTGTAAAGATTTTTCTGTAAATTACGTAACTCTATTGCTAACCATTCTTGTTTGACATATGTATAATGATACTTAACGATTATGTATGAAATCTTTGACAGTTTCAATTTCAATATTATTTCATGATTAATATATTCTGATTGATGGTTTCAGATACATATAACTTTACAATTTTATATCTCGTACTTAAAAAATGACGAAATACTATTGATTTTAACGAATTCATATTAATGCTTGTAGTATAATAGTTGTCTATGAACCATACGATTTGACAATCGATCGATTGTCTAAAACACAGTTTTATATTAAAATTATATTGTTCAAGTGACGCGAGCTTGTAATTAATTACGAAATATAAAAAACCCCTAAGAAAAAAAATCATAAAACAAATTGATTTATTTTTCTGGTTTGGCACACAACATATAAAAAAATCAAAATCTCTCTCTTAAAATTTTTGTCTATGGTAGATGAGTAAGTAGGCGTTTAAATTAAGTGTTATAGTAGATTATAATATTAAATCGATAAGCCTATTAGATGTTACTATGGTAAGGTTTATAATTATAAAATGAATCGAAGTTCCTCATTGACAATATTCGTGTGTTAGATCGCGTGTGTGTAGATGTTTTATGTTGTAAGTCATCTTCAAATTGTAACATACTCGTAAATATAATAAATGTACATTCTATGATACTATTTTTTTTTCCTTTCCGACAGGCTTAGGTACCTAGTTTTAATATGAAATTATGTAACCAATTTATAATTTATTACGGTTTACACTGGCACCAGTGAATTACAAGATGAGTATATGGTCGTGTCATCGGAGCTTCATCGCGACAAATTTGACATGATGGTTTCCAGGAATTGTCTAGGGCTATTGTAGTGTATGTGGAAACACTAGCAGTTTATTATCTATCGTCTCGAGCCGAGCGTACACGGACCGCCGTGCGCAAGAGGGAAGGGATTCCCTGCGCAAGCGCCGCGGAGTAAAGACGTGGAGCTATGGCTAACGAGCCGATATTACGTCGATAACAACTTACATACAAGACATAAATAACAAATAAGTGAACACTATAGCTATTATTATTATTAAACACAATACTATTGTAAATATCTGCATACATAATTTGCATATAAAACCAAAATAAAATGCCCAGACGGTGCGGGCACAATAGCTACAGGTCTCACCTGTAGGTATTGTGCCCCCGTCAGGTACAAGAGTTAAAAGATATTCTTATAGAGCGATAGTATTTATCTCCTCAGGATACAGTGTAAACTTTCCAAAGGAGATATTTCGTTTTTGCATGAGGGGACTACAACCACATAGGATGTGTGACGTTTCCTCTTCAGCTTGGCAAAATAGGACCACAAAGAAGCATGGCACTGTGCAAAACTGCTGAACTTCCAAAGCCGTAAAAAAATAAAACACATTTTAAAATTCTTAATACATTTAATATATTTTTGACAATATAACATTATTGTCAGTACTAATTAATACGAAATCTTCGCCATCTTTGATCTCATAGTTTACTTCCTTCACAGTAATCACGTCCTTATTCTCTTCAGCATTAATCTCATTTTGCGTTGTCATTTTCAAGTAGACATCACCGTTTGTAGTTGTCTTGTCGATTCTATTGATTTTGACGTCTTGTTTCGCATGTTTTGCTAACAGATGGCGCCGCAAACCTCGTACTCTAGTGTAAATGGCGCCACATTGCTCACAAGGATAAGTCTGCGATCGTTCATGAGTCGATGCAATATGTTCTTCTAGACTTACTTTGTAGCCGAACTTTTTGTTGCAAATATTGCACTGAAATGAAAAGAAATATCTCAGAACAATTCACACAGCGCCATCTAGTTCCACGATAAGCAGAGCTTATGTTATGGCTACTTGGATACATTTCTTTAATAAATACATACAGAATATACATAGAAAACCGCCAGACCAACAGACAATCACTTACAAATACATGTTTCTTAATAATAATCTAATCCCAGTATATTTCACACAGCGCCATCTCTAGACCCAAGTTAAGCTAGCTAAATCTTGTGTTTTTCGTAAATACATACATAGAAATAATATCTCAGGACAATTCACTTCGTGCCATCTAGTCGCAAGATAAGAAGAGCTTCGGTGTTGTACTGGACAACTGATTGAAATACTTACAAACATTTTTTTGGAAATACATACACATAAAATATATATACATAGAAAATACACAGAATCATACTTATGAACACAATTTTTTATATAAATAAATGTTAATTAAAAATAATATTTCAGGAGAATTCACACGACGTCAGTTAGTTCCAAGCTAAGCTGAGCTTGTGTATGGGTACTAAGCAACTGATATACTTAGGTATTTTTTTGTAATTACATATGTAATATATATATAAAACACCCACATCAACAATCAATCATACTCATAAATACAAATATTACCATCTAACAAGGAATCGAACCCGTGACTATTGAAATTAAAACGGCGTGCTAAGCTAGACCACCGAGGCCGTCAAAAGGATAAAATGGTTACAACGCACCTCGTACTTCTTGAAACCAAGATGCCTCCGGCGGTGAGCTCGCAGATTAGAGCTGGAGATGCAGCGCTGCGGACACACGTCGCAGCTGTATGGCCTTTCACCAGTGTGCTTCCTGTAACAATATATAAAAATTCAAACTCAACTCATGTAGGACCTTTCGGCCTCTTACGTCATCTGTCATACTCGTGAACGGGCCGTAGGTTACGGCTACTCATTAGGTTATTTCTGTGATATATTAGGAAATATGTAGGTAGATAAATTATTAAATTAAGTGTAGGTTAAACTGTTTTTTGTCACTTTAGATGTTTCATGCTCTTTTGTCTGCCATTAAACGTTGATAAGAAAACATCTTTTATTCCTCTCCGCTATAGAATATTCCAGTATTTCTCAATTTCCTTTTAACAAATGCAATAGCATATGCTGGTCATCATATTCTCCCTAATTTAATTTAAAAATGAATTTGTATTTCTCTAATCATAATATTTTATGATTCTCTAATGATAATTCACACCATCTAGTCCCAAGCTAAGCAGAACTTGTGATAATAGACCTGTGCGGTACTCGACTACTGATATCTGATACAGAGATCCCTTTTCTTTATAATGACATACATAATATACATAGAAAACACCCAGACTGAATAATCATAAGCAAGGGCCGGCGCTAGGGTCCTCAGTGCCCGCATGCAATTTTTATCCTAGCGCGGTTTATGTCTCCGTAGTTAGTTTATTTATAATTTATTAAGTATTCTATAGATTCTATATTTTAATACGGTACGGCACGGTAGAATAAAAAAAAACTTGACTATTCAAAAGTGCTTATATTAAGTTTATTTGAATAAAGATTATTTCTATTTCTATTAGTATATATCCGAATCTTGTGATGGCGCCCCCTTCGACGAGGCGCCTGCATGCTCCGCGTGGGTTGCATGCCCATTTCCGCCGGCCTTGATCATAAGCATTAATATAATTATTTCGTACTGTAGGATGAATAGAACCTTCGACCACGGAGGCCATCGGTGAATTAAAATTTTGAGGTAAGTAATATATATTCTAAATAAATCGCATTAAATGTGATTAATCACATCTGGCTACGATTTAACACAGCAGATGTATATAATAGGAGGACCATATTACTGGATGTGGTAACTCAAAGCGATAGATAACGAAAGCTATAAGATCTGATAAAAGTTAATTGATTAATCCCAGATAGATAAGGAAAAAAGAAAAAAAAATAATAATAAAAATATGATTAATCAATTTTCGACACTTGACAAATGTTAGACATGTCTACAATTATATTCCAGAATAATATTTAGAGCTGTAGGTTTTATCATATTTATATAGACCTCAAAATACGAAATAGCCAGTCAGTATCCAGGCAGAAGACATTCATCTATTTATTTTCTTATGGATGATAATGGAATGGTGCACCCACCTACATTTTTTTCTGGACTACTCTAATGCTGTTGGCCGCCACATAAGTTGAACATAAATGACACAGAGACATCTAGTTAACTTTTCAGAACTATTGTATGCTTTAATTAACATTTCGCTTAAACAAGTATTCTTACCGAATGTGTACAGTGAGAGAAGACCTCTGAGTGGTCCTGAAGCCACAATGGGGACACACATGCTGCTTTGTGCCTGTATGTGTCAATTTATGCTTGTGCAGGTAGTCTTGACGAGTGAACACCCTGCCACATGTCTGAAAGTTTTTAATATAATATTAATAATAACCCTGGACAATTGACACAGCGCCATCTAGACCCAAGATAAACAGAGCTTGTAGTATAGCTTATAGGCAACTGATATAAATAACAGTTGTCTAGTCAACGAATAACTGATAGAAAAAAAATAGATACATTTTTTATAAATACATACATAATACATATTAAAAACAACCAAATCGATACAACAACCAAATTATTTTTTTATTTAAAATCCTTTATTTCACCAACATAAAAGGAAAGATACATTAATAAATATAACAGAAAAAGAAAATAAATACTTTGCTAATTTGCTAAAAAATTACATATTTAAAAATAATATTAAAAACATAGTGAAAACTTACTTCACAAACAAAATGCTTTTTATCAGCATCATGTTCAGACAAATGTGTTTTTAAACATTCTCTAGTTTTAAAACATTGCAAACACTTTGCACACTCAAAAATATCTTCTGGTAACTCCACAGAAGCATTAGGATTGTGTCTATGGTCTCTCATATGTGATTCATACATTCTCCGTTTTGGAAGAAACCTAGTGCACATACCACACTTGTATCCATCTTTTAAGCCTTTACAGAAGTTAATTTCGTGGCCCAGACGTGTCTTTCTACTTTTAAACCTCTTTTCACAACCAAAACATTTGAATAAACCACTTTTTTCTTCTATACCATGAGATTCTGCATTATGGATGTTTAGTTTATCTGTGGTCTCAAAATCAACTCTACAAATATTGCAATATGTAGGTGACCTTTTTGGTTTATATTTTTTCCTTTTCACTTTTACTAAATTAAGCTCTATTTCGTTTTCTGAAGGTTCATAATTGCTTTCCCCGTCTGACTGTTGTAAATTCAAAAACTCACCATTCAATTGATTATTCTCTAATTCTAAATTTGAAATGTCTTCGATTTTTTCAACTTTTACACATTTTTCCAATGGAAGTGTACGGTTTATTTTATTTTTAAAAATATCACGCAACTTTATATCTTTTTCTCTGCAAGAAATCTTAAATTCGTAAAAATTTTCTATCTTGCTACAACAAGTTGTGCAAGTCTTCTTAGGGTAGTTGTCATCATATAAATCTAGATCTAAACAATCCCTTATTTTATCCACAAGTTCATTTTTTACAACACTTTCCTTTGCACTTTCGACCGATATTATTTCTCTATCCGCCTCTGGTCGCCAACAAAACCTGCATATATTTTCTTGAAGAAAATATTCATATGTATATAAATCACTAGTCTTTGATAAAGAACGGGTAGACATTTTACATATTATAATTATGAGATTCAACGTGTAATATATATTTTAATGTTAGATATGGTATTTTTATTTATAAAACGTAAACAATAGCAAACAAAATTAATAAGTTTGATAGTAAATGTCAAAATTAACAATTGACAATACATCTCTGATATCTGACAGTGACAGCACTGTGTTACGATTTACGCATGTTTCATTTAATGAAAGTAACTGCCGGACCGATTTTGACGGCAGTTTCACTAACTAACTAATAGATAAGGAACAATTTACGATGTTTTTATTTTAGTAATTTTATTTATTTTAATAAAAAAAAAGTTAAATTCTACCGGGACGAAGATACAGATAACATATAATAAAAAATATATACTCTTCCTGTAATTGTACTTGTTATGTAAAACTACTAGCTGGCTTTTACATCTTCACCGGACGATAGGGGCGAGTGTAGATCCCCTAAGTGTACAAACCCGCAGAAGGATGTTTGGAGCGGCTGAAGGCTTATTTTTTTTAGTGGATGATAATGGATGAGTGCACCGGCCTGCGTTAACGATATACGCTGTCGGGGTACCAGTGGAGGATGATGAGTTGAACATGAGATTGGGTTAGTTAGCCCAACGTGACACATTCACTAGGAATGTATCACTATAGTTTCCAGGGGGAACTGCGTGGAGGCAAATCAACCTGGCATGTAGGTATCATACCAGCAATGTATATAGTCAAGTTGACCTCCACACGGTTGCTCCTGGAACCTATCGTGATAAATTCCTTGTCAATTTGACACGATAGCCTAACTAACCTGACCTCATACTCGTCATATCATCTACCACTGATGTGCCGCTAGCGTAAACCCAGGCGTAACACAGGCGGAAGCACCACATCATTATCATACATTAAAAAAACCTTTATGAAGGGAAAGTTCTGGCCGAGTGGTGTACCGACGCTACCGTGACAGATTGCCATAGTGAGTGCGATGAACAATTATTTTTTTATTATCTGTATATTAGTCCTAAAGGTATATATAATAAGGGCCAGTATAGTTAAGTTGCAGAGTAAAATAAATAAAAAAAATTACGTCACGTTTTGGTCTAACACTACTTCTAGTGGTCGAAGGCTCGTCTTCGCACGGTACAAATATGTATTTATGTTTATGATTGTTTGTAACAGTCTATGCATTTCTATGTATATTATGTATTTAATATATTTCTATTAGTTGTCTACTACCCATAACACAAGCTCTGTTTCGTTCGGGACTAGATGGCACTGTATGAGTTGTTCTGTGATTAAGGTATATAATATGGGGGGGTCAATATTGTTAGATCATATTATTAAGTTGCCTCAAGTAAAATAAATAAATCATGTATTCATCCATAAAATAGGCCAAGTGTAATAAAACTAAATATTTTCAATAAAGTTGTATTTAATGTTCATAATCAACTTGTCTTACTAAATAAAAGAAACATTTTCACTTATTTATCAACAATACTCATTTACAGAGTAACTTAATACTATATTGTTTTATAATACACAAGTAAAAATATTTTCTGTGAGAACATGACATGTAGATCAAAATTTAAAAATGGAATTTGTTAAATTAAACCCGTAATTAGGACTTAATTTTTAAAAATGTAAAATGTATGAAGAGTTCAGTTATATTTTTTTTTATTCTTTTAGGCAATAATCACTATTAATGAACTTGTAAACTAATAAAGTAAGAATAACTTCAAAATTTATTTGAAATTAACTGTACAGTTTTATTAATTACCTTAGTAATCAGAATGTATGAGTTCAACATTCAATGTTTTTTAATCAGATAATATTATCATAATATGCTTTCTTATTTTAATATACAGGCTTAATATACTTTTTTGTATATACTCTATATAAAAAAGGGGCAAAGGAAATTCGAGTCTCCACTTTGTACTCTTATGTTGCAAAAATATTTATAATAAAATTTAATGAAAATTCAGACAGAAATTTAAATTTAGAACTTTTCTAGCTATAACTAAAATAAAAAAAAATACAAATATAACCAGACAATAGAACACTGAAATAAAAAAAGCTACAGTTTAAAAATAATTATTAATGACTTCATAATAAAAAAAATACAGTCAACTGAAAACCATGTGGGTTGTAGAGACATTGAATTTATATTATTATCACTTATGGATTAAAGAGATTTACAGTTTGTCACAGATAAAAAATAGATGTCACTTTATAATTTTCACTTATAAAATTAAATGACTCCTTATAGGAACATCAGGTGAATCTGTTACAAATATAGTCTTAAAAAGAACTTATGCTTCTCTCTCTTGGTCTTTGTCCTTCTTTTTTTTCTTCTTCTTCTCTTTTCTAGTTGTATCATCAGCATTCTCTGCAGTCACATCGGCATCCATTGTTGTGTCTCCATCAACAGTACCATCAAGGTCTTTCTTTTTCTTCTTCTTCTTCTTCTCAGACTTCAGTTCTGTTGAGTTATTAGGATCATCTGCATTTGCTGTGCTAGCTGTCCTTTTTCTACCCCCCTCGTCTGTCTCCGCTAAACCATTTTCATCTTCTTTTTTTACTTTATAATCTACATAACTATTCAACCATTCTCTTGGAGTGTTCTCATTAGGTTTACCATGTTTATCTAACTTTCCTTGTTGAATTAACTGCTTCTTCTGAGATGCTTTTGGTCCTAATCCCCATTTTCTTGGATATGTATCTCGTTCCATTATAACTCTTTTCAATTTAGCTGCCACTCCATGATCACATGAGGCCATTGTTGATGTGGTCATCAAAGCGATGGCTAACGCTACGGCCTCTCCTTTTGTTGTAACTATAACTATTTCTTGATCTATTTCAATACCATCTTCATATCGTAAAATTCCAGGTAGGAGTACTTTTGCACCGTAACACACAGCATTTACTGCACTGTCCTTTATAAAAATCCTCTTGTGTGCTATTAGCAAGCCTTCAAGTGGTTTGATAACTCTACGTATGTATGTTTCATCCTTATGATTTTCATATGCCCATTGTGCGTCTAATATATCATGCATTGTGACCATGCCTTCTTTCTCCCCCTGTATACCAGAACGTACACGTCTCAGCTCTATCATCTGACCTCCAACACCGAGCATTAAACCTAAATGGACACACATCGTACGAATGTACGACCCAGCTTCACAGCTGACCCAGAAGACACCAATGTTACGTTCCTGGTCATAATCGAGGAGTTTACTGTCATAAACACTACGAACACGCAGCTGCCTCTTCACAGCTGATATCAACGGCGGCCGCTGGAATAAAGCGCCACGCAGCTTCTCCAAACCTTGTGTGACTTTCTGCAAATTCTCTACAGCGGAATGCAAATTAAAAACAGCTACATACTCCTTACCAGCGTTCTGTTGGGATTTCACTAGCCTCGTAGCTCTGTCTATGCACACGATCAAACACCCAGTAACTTTAGGGTCTAGGGTACCTGAGTGACCAGTTTTCTCCACTTTCAATATTCTTTTGATCCATGAAACGACTTCGTGGGAACTCGGATTGCTCGGTTTGTCGACATTTATGAAGCCAGACTTGATGTATTCAGCGATAGGTCGCTTTAATGGCGAATGGCCAAATGGCAACGGCGTGTAATGATTAGTGCGCACATTGAGTCGGTCGAAATTTTTTAGTAACAGCGGCCAGTATGCAGTATCCAACTTACTGACGCTCTCCGTCGGCTCAATCTTGAACTCGCCGATCTTCTGGAACGCACCTAATGTTACGGTCTCTTTATTTTTCTTCTTCTTTTTCTCACTAAATACATCGCCACCCGGTTGCAGCACTTCTGTCATTTTCCCGCTTATTACGCCGTTGTCCGGCAACTGCGCAGTTTATTTGGACGTCGCTTGTAAATATACAAACAACTGTCCTAATTACAAGCGATGCGGTCGCTCAGTGAATTTAATCAGCCCCAAAATACGGGGTCACATGCGGTTTACACGATTAGAGGTTAGCTTGAAAAATGTGAATTAAACTACAAATGTTGCTAGTGTACAATGTTTTTGTTACACAAGTGTAGACAGCTAAATTTGTTACCATATTAATGTTTGACATTTTTACGAAATGTGTTTCATAAATGATCTTTTTACGAAATATGAATCATGCATGAATTGAATTAATTTTGGAAATTTTAGCAATTATTTTTTGCTTTCCTTATAACCTCTCAAAACAAAATGAGCTGGCTGGTTTCTAATGCATGCTGTATTCTTTATTACTTATGCAATAATTCATTGGCTATTAAAACAACCCTATTGAGTTAGAACAAATTTTATTTTCTTTCATGTTTTTGCAGTTCAGCTTTATACCCATTTTTCTTATAAAAACGGAATTAACCTATAAACTGTAAGTTTAGTTTTTACTGGTAATACTTTTATTTTTACTATGCAATATTACTATTTTAATAACAAATTAAACATAAATAAAATAAATACTGCCTTCTGTATATTACAATGTGTAAATTTTTTTAAAACTATTACTATGTTAATATTAATTTTATATCTATTATTTTTATTATATGAATATATATAATATTTTTATATTAATGCACACAGTAGTGAGTGTCAGATACTTCAGTCCACTTCAGTCTCTGTCAGTCATTCGAGCAGTCATGCAGTCTGTTTGACCAATCAATTACTCTTTCTCTCTTGAGTAGTATATTCTTTGCTCTTTCTTTTTCTCGTGCTTATGTTTATGTATTCTTTTAAATTATTATTTTGTAATTTAGTATAAGAGATAATGCTTTTGTTGTACAAGTTATAGTTACTTAACACAAAATGGCAGGTGTACTGTTTGAAGATATATTTAATGTTAAAGATATGGACCCGGAAGGGAAGAAATTCGATCGAGTGAGCCGACTTCACTGCGAGTCTGAATCGTTTAAAATGGACCTTATTTTGGATATAAATTCGTGGATATACCCTATGGAATTGGGTGACAAGTTTAGATTAGTGCTTGCCACAACTCTCAGAGAGGATGGTTACCCCGACGGTGGAGAATGGAACCCACTGGAAACGGAGGGAAACCGCGCGGATAGTTTTGAATATGTCATGTCCGGCAAAGTTTATAGGTTAGTTTGTTTACTTACAACAAAAACTATTTATTCGTTTTGCGGATTGTAGTTCGTGATTGTGATCAGTTCGGTTTAGTTTGTATGCCTTTTGCAAATAATTCATTCGCTCTCCACTCGATATAAAATAATATTCGTAACTATTATTTCCCACAAATATCTCTCCATATTGCAATCAGTTGTTTGCCGAATAACATGGAAGAAAAGAAAATGGTACATTATGTGTTTTATTGATTATACAGTACAGAGTGTTTTCTGGCAATAGACTAAACTAATTCTTTGCAATGTACAGCACATTCTTATTACAGTAATATTTTGGGTTGCTTTTCTCCATTATGCTTCAGCTATTATATTTCATCTTACCAGCGTAGCCTTGGTAATTTATTTAAGCTTTATTTTCCATATAATTATATTTTTAAATTTACATATCAAGTTTAACTAATTTGCTTTCTTTATTTATGGTCCCATGTGGGTAAAAACCTGCTCTAACTTGCTCCATGATTCTCTATTTGCAACCACACTCGTCTAGTATTCCCCAACCACTTCTTTGATGTCATTGGACCATCTTTTACTCTACAACAACCAAGTCAACCTATTTGCCTTTTTCCTGCTGGTCTTAGCCATTTTGTTGATTGGTGAGTCCACATTTTGTCTTTGTACCAGCGATGTGACCTACCCATATCCATTTCTGTCTTAGGCCATGTTGAAGTGCTGAAAAGTTAAGAATTTTTAAAAAACAAAGCTATAGTAATAACCGCTTGTTAAATACTTTCAGGATAGAAGGTGATGAAGCAGCCATGGAACCGGCTTCGCGGTTAGCTGCATATGTCTCATTTGGTGGTCTCCTCATGAGGCTACAAGGGGATGCTAACAATCTCCACGGATTTGAGGTTGATCAGCACATGTACTTGTTGATGAAGAAGCTAGCTTTCTAAATAAACTGTTTTGTAATATAATAACTATTTTTACAGTTTAAAACTTTTCAGTTCATATTTGACTAATACTGTGTTCAGAGGACAAAACCAAATTCAATCACATCATCAAGGATAACTAGGTCAAATCATGATCAAATTTATTTATAGGGCATCATATGAGAAGTAATAGCTTTCAAACAAAAAAGTAATCATCAAAATCGTTATACCTAGAAAAAAGTTAGGTAAAAGGTAAAATATAGCCAAATTGTTAACCTCCTTTTTAATGTTGAATATGATTGTAATAATAATTAACTATCCTGGTATTTGGAATAAAATTCTATTATTTTTTACTTTATAATTTGTTTTGTAAACATAACCAATGTTTCGTATGAAATAAGAATAAATCACTGAACACTAAATGTTGTGATAAGAATAAAAGAACCTCAGTGAACATACACATTAAAATTGTTTAAGCTATTTCTAATATTACCATACAAAGACAAACAGACATTAAAATATAAAGTTAACTTTCTTTATAATGTTAGAATTATCATTCAAAAAATTTCTAGTACTTACCTATGAATTCTATAGGTGCCTATTATGTAAGAATAAACATATATTTCATATAAAAATTGGATTGAAATTTTTTTATATACACCTAGTTAATATGGTATAATACATATTAATTTAATACTCACTAAATATTTGTTTGCTTAATATGAGCAGATTATATATATTCTTTATTGCACAGATAATACAAAGATATTATAATTTAGAGACAATGTGAGCAAAGGTGGACTTATCCCTAGAAGAGATCTCTTCCAGTCAACCTAAAACAGTGGGATATGTGGTACTGAGTGGGTAATAATTGGTGCAAACAAAAAAAATGTCAAAACCTAGATACTAAATAAAGTTCAAATAACTAATTATGTAAGGGCCATATAGATAGATAGATGAGATCTTATTATATTTTAAATCACTCACTGACTGAGTAAGGGTGCACTATCTATGTAGGTCGCAGTGATACAGGTCTAGATCCTATTACTAGCAATGTATTATGTCACCGTGACTTATACGCGTTCCCCGCTGAAATGAATCATCGTTCGTGTCATCGGCACCCCCCTACGAAAACGAAGATTTGGGCCTCGGAGCTAACCCCTTTGCCCCGGCATCGACTACAGGGGACAACGTCCCTCGGTGATCCCTCTTGACGACTTCGGTGATCCCTCTTGATGACCTCGGTGGTCTAGCGGTCTAGCACACCGCGGGTTCGATTCCTCGCACGGCACGAACATTTGTATTCATGAGTATGATTGTTTGTATCAGTCTGGGTGTTTTCTACGCATATTATGTATTTCTTATTTATTTTATTTTCCGTTCGTCCACTGAAAAAACATTAATTTTGGTACATCCTATCATCTTCCACTGGTGACTCGCCAGCTTATACCATTAGTGCAGGAAAACTGATTCGCCAATCCTTTATGTCTATATAACTTGCGGTCATTCCATTATTACCCACTAGTTCTGTTCCCGTGGTTTCACCCGCATGAAATTTATAGCCTATATGTTATTCTGATGTATACGCTGTATTAGTGTACAATATATATAAGTATATCTTATTAATATTATAATTGTGAAAGTTTGTAAGTATGGATGTTTGTTACTCTTTCACTCGTTCGCTCGTTCGCTCGTTCACTCGTTCCTAACGCTCGTCCAGTAGAACGGATTTTGATGACAGTAATATATATTTTTTATTGAAGTTTTACGTGGATGAAATCGCAGGCACAGCTATTAATAAGATAAGATTTAAAAATTCGATCCTTTTCGGCAGCAAACAGAACAGCGCCATCTATCAACAAGTAGTGTATTTAATTCATAGTCACATCTACCGGAGAATAGTATTCAACTGAAGGAAAAGTTAATAATTATTGCCACTAGATGGCACTACCTCAATCCCTCGATACATTAACACTATTTTATTCTACAATAGATTTATGAATTTCAACTTTAATTTTAAACTATTCCAACAACGGTTTGTTGCGAGGAACCCACGCTGCCTTTCCAACTTAACGCTAACGAGACTACTAAGTCTATCACGTGTCGGTTTTTTTTAATGATAATAATGGATTGGTGCACTTGACTGCGCTAACGGTAGGTATACGCTACCGGGGCACCAGTGGAGGATGATGAGGTGAACAGTTCAGATCATTTAGTCCATTGTGGCAAATTAACGAGGAATTTATCACGATTATTTCCAGAGGGAACTGCATTAATACACATTACTAACAATCCCATCCAGTGTCGATTTAGACCCAGCACATAACCTGTAGCAAATTTAACTTAAATAACCCATGCTTTTGAAGATCAATACAACAAATATATTGGTCTGTTTAGAGTTTTTGAGGCTATAACCAAATTAAGAGTTAAAGATAGAGAAAACTTTGTTTATTTATTTTTGTGTTGTGTTCAGACATCAAATTCGATCTTACGACCTTACCGTTTAAGTCTGAGTAACAAACCACTAAGCAATGTTACTCTATACATTTAACTAATTGGAAATAAACAATTCTAGTCTCTCACGTCGCCCGGGGGGTATATTATTTGGCGCATTCAAAACATATTGTCTATGGTCCTATGGAGGAGTAATGTCGCTTTCCCAGGACCACCGCTGTGACGGTAACCATTCCAACATCGCCGACGGCGACAATGATATGGAATACACTATTCAATTCGTAATTCGAATAGCTTTGTCTATGGCCCTTCCCGCCTTTTATTTGCATCGTATTTTTTAATAGGTCGACTTATTGTTAGTATAAAATATTTTTTGTATGATTCTGTGTAACCAATTTTTTTGTACAGCATATTTGCAAGAGAAATATTTATTTTTAAAGGAATCAAGCAGCAACCATTTAAAGCACTCTAAGGAGGAGGATAAACTTTAACTCCAATAGTAACAACACTAGTGTTGATACTTCGAACATGTATTTTGTTTCCTTAAAAGTTTTCACGAAATGTTATAGGTATTGTTATATGTATTTACTAGCTACTCGCCCCGACTTCGCACGGATGTACATGTATTACATATATATACCTTCCTCTAGAATTACTCTATCTATTAAAAAAAACTGCTTAGCATTCATAGGGACGCACAGACAGCGACAGCGACTTTATTTTATACTATGTAATGTTTTATTTCTGTTACCTATATCTATCTATATAGTTGCCCTAATATATTACAATCATTTTGAACAGATTGTCTGCATGCAATATGCGAGCTCCTTATGACTCAGGAATATAAAAATGATAAACAAAGTGTTTCTTTGCCAATTTGATTAAAACTCAAAACCTTTGTGTTTTATTACTCTCCACAATCAAAACTATACTAACTATATAATACCTATAAATGTGAAAGCGCCTCTATTTGTTACCTTCTCATATCAAAACGACTGAGCCAATCTTATTTAAACAAAGATAAATTGTATAATGAGCACAATATGTACATTGTATATCTTCTATCTCAAAAAAGAAGACGAAGTCGAAGTAAAAAGCTAGCGATTTATTTACTAAGTATGTAACAAACAGACAAAAAAACTATGACAAGAAAGGAATCATACGGCGTTTACACGCGTGATTTCACGCGGCGCGGCGCGGCGCCGCACGTGCCACGTGCACGATAACGAGCGCACAGTGTGTATGAGCCTTAATATTAATATGACAAGAAAAAAATAAAATCAATTAGACTTCGATTCCTCGTACGGTGCAAACATTTATATTTGTGTTCTATACTATATTATACATATAAACCATCCTTTTGTATCACTCTATTCTCTTCTTCTTTTGTATCATTCTATCTACTCTATACTCTATTGCTGAAAACTGTAGATATTAAAATCCGTTGCGTAATTTAAAAGATATAAACTAAAAGACAGCGGCGGCGTCTATGTTTTATAATATGTGAAGATATACTTACCTTCCAACTCTTATTTAATTGGTATAACAGGCGTTTTTGTTGTCAAGCTATTATAATTATTAGATTAGATATATCTTAAAAGCTGATTATAAAAAAAATATTAAGTTAGTAATAACTTCATTGAATACTTTATTAAACATTCATTTTATTTAAGAAATATATTATGAGATATGTCTAGAGATTGTAAAGATTTTTTTAGATTTAAAAGTGCCTTTAAATACTATTATGTAGATAATTGTTGTCGCCATATTTGATAATTTTGGAATATTTCCCTTCCGATATTCCTGCAAATATTTCTACAAGCACCATTTATTTTTCCTCACACTTAGGTACTTAAATTTAATATACAAAGTGGAATTTAATAAATTATTTAGAATAAAAGCTGTTCTTAAAAAAACTAAAGTATTAACCTAGTAGATCTTTACTACATATCTAAATATTTTAATTAAAAAACATACGTAAGTATCGTAAAGATTATTTTAGATTTAAAAAGTGGATATGCCGCCATATTTGACACCTTTGTACATTTTCCTCCGATGATTAATTATTAGAAACAAGCCCATTGTAGTTAGACCGACATTCCTGCAAATAGTTGTAAACTCGAGAGGGATTCTTATATATTTCCTCTTACTGATATTATGTTATCTGTGGTTATATTCAATATACAATGAAGTATTTCTTAAATTAATACGAATAAAAGCTGTATATAAAAAACTGAAATATTAACCTAGTAACTTGCTCGAGGTCTTTACTACATCAAAATTTTAATTAAAAACATACGTAAGGATCTTAAAGATTATTTTAGATTTAAAAAGTGCACATATATGTAATTGTTGCCGCCATATTTGATAATTTTTGTATATTTATATCCAAATCCCTCCAAAATTATAGTTACACCGACAGTCCTGCAAGTTTTTTTAAATGCGAGAGAGGTCTCCTTAAATTTTTCTCCATATTTACCTACTCATATTTAATATAGAACACATATCTATATATCTTTGTATATTTCCCTCCAAAATTGTAGTTAGACTGACATTTCTGCAAATTTTTCTAAATGCGAGAAGGATCCTTATATTTTCCCCATACTCACTTATATTTAATATATCTACAACGAAGCATTTATTAAATTAATACGAATAAAACCTGTTTATAAGAAACTGAAGTATTAACCTAGTAACTTGTTCAAGGACTTTTCTAATATAATATTTTAATTAAAAACATACATAAGGATCTTAAAGATTATTTTAGATTTAAAAAGTGGATATGTAGGTGAATGTTGCTGCCATATTTGATAACTTTTGTAGATTTCCTTTCAAAATTGTAGTTACTCTGACATTCCTGCAAGTTTTTTTAAATGCGAGAGGGGTCTCCTTTTATTTT